GTGAAGGACAGTGCCAGGCCCCCTCCAGAGGAGAGAGAAGGAAACTAAAGATGCTGATGAGAGAATCTGTTTCCAATGTTTCCAATGACAACACCCTCAGCCTGCAAGAGAGTATCTGTCTGCAACAAGGCATTACTAATCACACAAGCCAGATCTCACAGATTGATCAGAGCACTCTGAGGTAAACATGATCAACCACACCCATAAGCACAAAACCAGATATAACAAAGAGATAACATATCTCCCATTTCTGGCAGGTAGCCTAGTGGTTAAGAGAATTGGGCCAGTAACAGAAAGGTCACTGGTTTGAATCCCTGAGACGGCAAGGTGGAAAAATCTGCCATTCTGCCCTTGAGCAAGGCAGTTAACCCCCAACAACAACTGCTCCCAGTGTGCCGATGACATGGATGTTGATTAAGGCAGCCCCCCGCACCTCTCTTATTCAGAGGAGTTGGGTTAAATGCGGAAGAAACATTTTGGTTGAATGCATTCAGTTGTGCAACTGACTAGGTATCTCCCTTTCCCTATTAAGAAATCCAGAACAGAACCATGATATCTTAAAGACCTTCCAGCGCACAGAGATCAAAGACTACTATGCGGCAAAACTCTTAACTGCATTGCATCATGTCTGATTAATAACATGCTAATACTCTAGCAGCATCAGCACTAACTTTGCAACATCTTGTATTATTAAAGACTGCATATCTTTCTACCAAGAATCTCCATCTAAAGATTCATAAATCGAAGGGCCTATTTGAAAGTGGTGTGCGGGTTTACCCCTGTGTATTTAACTAATTAATAACATGCTTTAGAACCTTTTCATCTCAGATATCACATTTTGATTTCAATAGAGATGATGATCCCGTCCCATGTATAAAGGCTGAGGTGGAAAGGCTGTTCTGGCTGCGTTTGGCTATGCCTTCCCAAGTGTACCTCCCTTTCTAAAGGGTTGGATGGAGAGACTGTGCTGGGTGCGTTTGGTTATGTCTTCGCCAGTGTATCCTCCTTTTCGTGTAACGGGAATGACAGTGCGAAAGGTGAAGTAAATCACTCCTCCGGGGTCCTGGAGGGGTTAAACAGCGTGTGGGCTGTCCCCGTTCTGCCTGAACATTAAAATCAAACAGATTCATGTCGTGTTAAACAAAGCTATCTGAGACAGCAGGCAGGCACCGATCCCCTCTATTCCTCCACTCAGGACCCCTGGCTTAGTATCCACACTGGATGGACGGGGATGGATGGATGTGGAAGAACCCTGTGGTTCTGAGCATGACAAAGCTAATCTAATGACTGCAACAACAGCCTAATGCCATAAAGTGTGTGTGTGTGTGTGTGTGTGTGTGTGTGTGTGTGTGTGTGTGTGTGTGTGTGTGTGTGTGTGTGTAGTCTTTATCTGTGACCAATTCTCAGCCCCTAGTATTTCCACTTAGCTGCAAGACACATATTTAATTTATTTTCGTCTGCCTCATCCAGGCTGTCTCTCCTTCTCTCCCTTTCACATGATTTCACACTCACCTACCCTGTTCTAATCTGTCACCTTATTGCTGTCTTCATCTCCCTCCCTCTTTCTCTCATTCTATTATTCTCTCTCTATTCTCACATCTTTCTCCCTCACTCTGCATTTCCACTCTCTCTTTTTCCATCTTTGAATGTGATAAAGGAGAGGATAGCTGAGTACATTTGCAGTTCTCTCTCTCTCTCTCTCTCTCTCTCTCTCTCTCTCTCTCTCTCTCTCTCTCTCTCTCTCTCTGAGAAACCGACTGGTGCATATCAGTAATGAGGATCATCTCCATGGCAACCTCCATGGCAACCTCAGCTGAGCTCCCATCTCCTTGCCAAGAGCCACACCCAGGAGGGAGGAAAACAGGAAGTGACGTGTTAACAAATGAGTGTCCATGTGTGCATGTGTGTTAAACAAAGGATGCTGGAACAAAGCCAGGACAAAGAGCAGGCGTTTCAAGGAGCCGCATTATCATTAGCTCAATCACATCAACAATGATGCAACCAAAATCTTAACCAGAGAGCTGGGGGTAAGGGTGTTTTTGGGTCACAATTGTTGATCCCATCTGGATGGTTACGGAACCTAAATTACTTACAGTAGGTGAATGAATGCCCCTGCTGTAGAAATACAATCCAGTAAACATGTGAAGCACTTAGCTGGCTACCTCACCCAGGATAATGTACTTAGATAATCAATAATGTAATGCCTTTTGCAAAACTGGAGCCAGCAGAGCAGAGAATGAGGCTTTTAGCCAACACACACTTAAAACACAGCCAATGTAATACACATGTTATTGAATAACACACACTCAGCTAAATATACGACTACACAGACTGCTGCTCCCACAAAGAAACACATACACCAAGAGCAATACTATTTAATACATCAACATGAATCTGATGATATTAGGCAATTACACACACTAAAATAAACACACCTACACAGAGAACACACTGACAAACACCCACCCACACACAGACACGGTGGTGACCTGAGAGCTGGATGAATAAGCCCTGCGACCTCATTCCCCTAACCTTTTGTCCCGCCTCCCCGATTTAGCTGTGATTGACAGCTGAGTTGCTGCCGGTAACGTCAGCCCCGCCCAGCCCAGAACAACCCAGGCTGCAGCTCGCAGAGACACCAAGGCTCTGAGAGAGCCTTGCTGCTGCAGCACAGAGCGGAAAATTACCACAGCCCCTCCCCCTCCTCCCTCTCTCTCTCTCTCTCTCTCTCTCTCTCTCTCTCTCTCACACACACACACACACAGAACTGCAGCCTACAGAGCGCATTCTGAACCACTCAAATGCAAAGAGATAGCTTCAGGCATTGTTACTGGAGCCATACTGGGCCAAACGCAGCACAGAGAGAGAGCATGACAATATAGAGAATATATTTTATGTGACTCTCAGACACCTAGTAAACACATACTGACTCGTATTGAGCTCGGAGGGCACTGCAATCTTCAAAACACACACTGACCCACTTACACATGCACTGTAATATTCAGAACCCCTGTGTGATCATAGAGAGCCCCAAAGCAGACCACATAGATAAGACCACATTCTGAACCAACCAAATGATCATACAGTGGCTCTGAGCTTGTATTTTATTTAGTTGTTTTTACTTACTGACCACTCACTAAAATTAGGTCAGTGTATTATGAAAGAGTATTAAAGAATGTATTATCAAAGAGTAGTACATCATAGAGCTTTATGCGATACAGAGACCAAGGAGGACAGAGCCTAGACTATAAAATATTTACAAAACCACTTGAGTGCCACTGGTTACAAACAGCACTACTTTAAATGGCCAACAGAATGCTCAATCCACATGAGGAGATAGTGTTTGCTGTTGATATACACAGTCTTTAGTCCAACAAAAGGGGCTGAGCAGCTTACATGCTGAGCGGATCGAGCCGCCCTGACACACTTAGTGCATGTTAATGAAAATAGGAAGAATCCTGTTTACAGCATGCTCAGGCAGATAGCATGCATGTCTGGGGAGAGCTGCTGCTAATTCACCATTACTCCTCTCAGCTCCTCTCAGCTGCTACCCACACACACAGACACACACACAAGTAAACAAGGCTGATGGACTTAAGGAGGGAGGGTTGAGGGAAGGAGGGTGGGAGAGGGAGATAGAGGGACAAAGAGATAGATAGGAATTGATATCGAGAGGAATACTGTGAGACAGAGAATGAAAGATAGATATAGGGAGGGAAATAAAGGGAGAGAGATACAGAGGGATGGAACAAGGCCGGTGGAACAAGGCCGGTGGGCTGAGGGAAAGGTAGGCGGGGGAGGGGCAAAGAGGGCATTGAAGGGTGGGAAAAGCAAGAGAAACAGTGAGACTGGAGGAAAGAAACATGATGAATTAGACAAGGGAACATAGACTGAGAAAGACAAGCAGGGATAGAAACTGAGGGGGGGAGGGCAGGCAGTTAGAGAGAAATCGATATTAAGGGTTGGGAACGCAATAGGAGCAGGGAGACCATGAGATTGAAATACACAGTGAGTCAGGGACATTAAGAAAGCAACAGCAGGGGAGAGAAACAGAGGGATAGATAAAAAAGGATATGGGAGAGAATGGAAGAGAAAGAGAAGGATTACTCATGCACCCAGATGTGAAAGAAAAGGTTGTTACAGCAGTAATCCTGCAAGCTGAGGGAACAGCAGAATAAAAGGCATGAGAGGGGGGGGGGGGGGGGGGGGTATCCTGTCATCCACACACCTCCTGGGGACTCACAGAGATAGGCAGGCCCCTGCTTGTGCCAAGCCAGCTCACTCACATACAGAAACACATACTCCTCCATTTATACTCCTCAATTTAAATGGCTGTCTGTTTGCTTCGATTAATGTGTCACTGAAACTCAGCTGTGGTTTGTAAAAGATTCAACAACATGCAATCACCATCAATGAATCGATCTTGTGGATGCAAGGTAGGAAGGCCTGACTGACAGAGGAGCCTATTTAAAATGTTCACAGAGAGAAAGAGAGAACGAAAGAGAGAGAGAGAGAGAGAGAGAGAGAGAGGGAGAGAGAGAGAGAGAGGAGAGAGAGAGAGAGAGGAGAGAGAGAGAGAGAGAGAGAGAGAGAGAGAGAGAGGAGAGAGAGAGAGAGAGAGAGAGAGAGAGAGAGAGAGAGAGAGGAGAGAGAGAGAGAGAGAGAGAGAGACTGAAGAATGCACTGAGTAGTACTGTAGCATTCTAAACATGGGGTAAGAGTGTACATGATATAAATAGAAGATGGAAATAAAACTACATCCTATGAAATAATGTATTGGTTGTTTCACAATCATGAAGAAAAAAAAAAATCCATCAATGAAACAATAGCTGACGTTCTGATTCTGCTGCCGTCACAAAGCTCACAATTTGCCTTTTTCAATTAGGCTACAACTCTATCATCCGTTGAAACAAATTATTATTGGATTATTGAATCAAATACAATAGTAGCTCGTAACACATTTCCACAGCGTCATAGACAGCCTCGTACGTCACAGATGATTACTTTAGTTCTGAAAGCTTAGCCGCCTTCAGCACCGTGGACAGCAACACTCGCTCTATCAAGACACGAGGCTATAAGCGCACTGAAAAATGCAGCAAATGTGACAACTCTCGTGGTGAGGGCTGTTTTCTAACGTAAGAGAAACTTTGAAAACAATTTTCTTGACTGCAAGGAGTTCAAAGGAGTAATACATGTATAATTCAATAGAAGAACAGGCCCGTTTATCTATAGCCTATATCTTACCTTATCTTTATTCGGAAGCGTTTGTGTCCTGTTAAACGTGTCATTCCCGTTAATACTGATCAGTTCTGCATCTGCAGGTGGATATGGCACAGGGAAAACCACTACGTCACTCTTCAGTGTGTCTGAGCTGAAACACACGTCATACTGCTGAGTAGATTTAGAGTATGACCAGCTCCCGTCAGGGTGTGTGGTGATCATTGGGGCGCTGTACCTGCTGAAACTGTCGTCTGTCCTGTGGCATTTTACAGCTATTAAACTGATCAGGCTCAGTAAACATAGTATTGACACCGAGGCAATGGCAATCAGCAAATACAGGTTTAAATCAGAGAAGTTATCCTCCTTTCTCGGTACATTTGTGAATTGAGTCTGGATTTCACCTGTACTTTCAACCACCACCACATCAATAGACACAGTCGCTGACAGTGAGGGTTCTCCGTTATCAGAAACCAACACGACCAACTGGTGAGTTTTCAAGTAATTGTCACTCATTCGCCTCTTAGTCCTTAGTTCCCCGGTGCTGGTTCCGATTCGGAAGAGGTTGGTTCCCTTGGGCTCAGAGACGTGATAAGAAAGCAGCGCATTGTAGCCAGAGTCGGAGTCTACAGCCCTGATCTTGGCCACAAAGTAGCCCGCTTCAGCAGAATAGGGAATGTTCTCAGTGTTAACGGAGCCGTGCTCAGAATAGGGCGCGAGAATCCCAGGACGGTTGTCATTCTCATCCAGAATAAAAACGTTCACAGTCACGTTGCTGCTGAGAGGAGGAACGCCAGAGTCTGTGGCCTGAACTTTAAAATTGAAAGTTTTTATCTCTTCATAGTTAAAAGACTTCAGACTGACTATATCTCCTGTATCTGAGTTTATATTTACAGACGATGATATGAAAACACGTTTATCTAACGAAGAATAAGTTACTTTTGCATTTTCATCTGAATCTGGGTCAAAAGCAGAAATCGTGTAAATGACGTCTCCTACCGGACTGTTCTCTTTCACATAAATGTTAATCACGGGTTCTGAGAAGTGAGGAGCATTGTCATTCACATCAGAAACGTGTACAGTAATAACGCTGGTGCTATGGAGAGGCGGGGTCCCTTCATCCGTAGCTGTGATGGTGACATTATACTGAGAAGCACTCTCTCTGTCAAGAGGCCCGTCGACCACTAACGAATAATGATTATTATAAGAGCTCTTTATCGTAAATGGTACAGAGCCTAGTATTTTAACATGTACAGCGCCATTTTTGCCTGCGTCATTGTCTTTTATTGTTATCAGGCCAACCATTGTCCCTAATGACGCATCCTCTTTTACAACGTTAACTAAAGATGTGACAGATATCTCTGGTGGATTGTCATTCACGTCGGTAATTTCAACCAGCACTTTACAGTGAGATGCTCTTGGCTTGTGGCCTTTATCTTTAGCTTGGACGCGGATTTCAAAGGCATTGTTTGTCTCGTGATCCACCACGCCTTTCACAGTGATTTCTCCAGTAACGGAATTAATTGCAAATGCGTCAATGCTATTATCATTGTTTTGGTTGATAAAACTATACACTATTTCACCGTTTAGGCCCTCATCTGAATCGTTCGCTTGAACCATAATCACGGAGCTACCTGGAGGCATATTCTCAGGAATACGAGCTTTGTAGAGGGGCTTTGAGAAAATAGGAATATTATCGTTAACATCCTCTACATTTATTATAATAAGTGATGTCCCGGATCTTGGAGGTTTTCCTCCATCTACAGCGGTCAGTGTGAGCTGGATCACAGGCTGTTTCTCTCGGTCTAAAGCTTTCTGCAGCACTAACTCAGCAGACACACTCTGCTCTCCACCGCTCTGTACATCCAGGGAGAAGTGTTCATTCGTGCTCAGCTTGTAGCTCTTTACAGAGTTAGCTCCTATGTCTGCGTCGTAGGCGCTGTCCAAAGGAAATCTCTCACCTGGAAATGCAAACTCCGATACATTCAAATATGTTTTAGGCGACCTAAACGACGGTGAGTTGTCATTTATATCCAAAATATTCACCTCAAAGCGGTATAGGTTCAATGGCGAATTCACAATGGCTTCTAGTTCTAAAGAACACTTGGTGCTCCGAGCACAGAGCTCGTCTCTGTCTATTCTCTCCCTCACGGACAAAATTCCAGTCTTTGTATTTACATCGAAATACCTCTTATTGAGTCCAGAAATCTCAAACCCACGATATTCAAGTTCCTGCACTTCAAGATGCAAATCCTTCGCGAAATGTCCAACAACAGTGCCCGGGTTAGATTCCTCCGATATGGAATAGACAATCTGTGCTGATGCGATACTCCAAAGATGGAACAATGGGAGGAGATAGTAAATCCACGAACGAAAAAGAAACCCTTTGTGAGTCATTGTGACAGTATTCTGTTTACCAAACCTTCAGCTACCAAAAGCGGCTGTCGTCCGCATAGCTGCGTAATTTAAAAAAATCCAAAACAGATCCAGACGAGATCCACAACGTTCTGCTGCTCGAGCAAACAAAGCCTTTTTTTTCGACACCGACCACTGCTCCTGTAAAGGGAGGAGCCTCAAACAACTAGCGAGGATTTACACTGTGTGAGCAGATAGCGACACCGGGTGGATATCTACAGAGAAAATGGAACAACTCGGCTATAGATTTCTGTGGAAGTGAAGACCAAAAAAAATAAATCTCCCAAAACACATAAAAGGCAACAGTAACCACACAAGCTATGCATGATGACCATAATATCTGATAATATATGATGTTATTAGTGAGTTCTACAGTCTTTTAACTATGAGGAGATAAAAACTACTCAATATGATTCGACCTAGTTAACATAGACACCAGATCCCAAATGTTCAACTACTTCATCAGAAAAACGCCTCGCAAGCGGGAGAGATGCTTTTCAGCACCATGGACAGCGAGACCGCTCTCATTTTAACCATGCAGGCAAATAGTAAGCAAATGTTACAACTGGTACAACTTGTAACACACTGGTACAACGTTCTAAAATATCACTGATCATTCAAATGAGTAAGAAAATAACCGAACAACGTCATAATAACCAGCTTAAGCATCCCAGGGCAGATAACATGGAAGGCCTAAACACCGGGGGGGGGGGGGGGGGGGGGGGGGGGGGGATTTCATTGTCAACTGACCTGTAACCCTTACCTTCTCTTTGTTGGGTAATGTTTGAGTCCTGTTAAACGTGTCATTTCCGTTAATACTGATCAATTCTGCATCTGCAGGTGGATATGGCGCGGGGAAAACCACTACGTCACTCTTCAGTGTGTCTGAACTGAAACACACGTCATACTGCTGAGTAGATTTAGAGTAAGACCAGCTCCCGTCAGGATGTGTGGTGATCATTGGGGCGCTGTACCTGCTGAAACTGTCGTCTGTCCTGTGGCATTTTACAGCTATTAAACTGATGAGGCTCAGTAAAAATATCACTGACACCGAGGCAATGGCGATCAGTAAATACAGGTTTAAATCGGAGAAGCTCTCCTCTTTTCTCGCCACATTTGTGAATTGAGTCTGGATTTCACCTGTACTTTCAACCACCACCACATCAATAGACACAGTCGCTGACAGTGAGGGTTCTCCGTTATCAGAAACCAACACGACCAACGGGTGTGTTTTCAAGTCATTGTCACTCATTCTCCTCTTAGTCCTTAGTTCCCCGGTGCTGGTTCCGATTCGGAAGAGGTTGGTTCCCTTGGGCTCAGAGATGTGATAAGAAAGCAGCGCATTGTAGCCAGAGTCGGAGTCTACAGCCCTGATCTTGGCCACAAAGTAGCCCGCTTCAGCAGAATAGGGAATGTTCTCAGTGTTAACGGAGCCGTGCTCAGAATAGGGCGCGAGAATCCCAGGACGGTTGTCATTCTCATCCAGGATAAAAACGTTCACAGTCACGTTGCTGCTGAGAGGAGGAACACCAGAGTCTGTAGCCTGAACATTAAACTGGAAAGTTTTGATCTCCTCATAGTTAAAAGACTGCAGACTGACTATATCTCCTGTATCCGAGTTTACATTTACAGCTGATGATATTGAAACACTTGTAGCTAATACTGAATACGTCATCTTTGCGTTTTCATCTGAATCTGGGTCAAAAGCAGACGTCGTATAAATGACGTCTCCTACCGGACTGTTCTCTTTGACATAAACATTAATCACGGGTTCTGAAAAGTGAGGAGCATTGTCATTCACATCAGAAACGTGTACAGTAATAACGCTGGTACTGGAGAGAGGCGGGGTCCCTTCATCCGTAGCTATGATGGTGACATTGTAATGAGAAGCTCTCTCTCTGTCAAGATGCCCGTCGACCACTAACGAATAATAGTTTTTATAGTTAGACTTTAGTTTAAATGGAACAGACTCAACAAGTTTACTGTTAGTCAGGCCATTTTTCGCTTCGTCTTTATCTATCACTGTAACCAAAGCGACAACCGTGCCGATTTCACTATCCTCTTTGACTGGGCTCATTAATGATGTTACTGATATTTCAGGAGCATTGTCATTAACATCAACAACCTCAACTAACACTTTAGAATAACCACTACGAGGTGAGGAGCCTTGGTCAGTCGCTTGAACACGTATTTCATATGCTGCGTTTTTCTCCTTATCCAAATGTTCTTTGACAGTCATTTCACCTGTATCTGAATTCAGGGCAAACATATCAGCAGGATTCAGATTCCCACGCTCAATAAATGAATACACAAGTTTACTGTGTATTCCTTCGTCTAAATCAGTAGCACTGAGTGTTAAGACTGTAGAACCTAAAGGTACATTCTCAGGCACACTGACCTTATATAGCGACTTGCTAAATGTGGGTGAATTATCATTAGCATCTATGACATTTACAACTATAGGCAGCGTTCCGGATCTTGGAGGTTTTCCTCCATCTACAGCGGTCAGTGTGAGCTGGATCACAGGCTGTTTCTCTCGGTCTAAAGCTTTCTGCAGCACTAACTCAGCAGACACACTCTGCTCTCCACCGTTCTGTACATCCAGGGAGAAGTGTTCATTTGGGCTCAGCTTGTAGCTCTTTACCGAGTTACTGCCCGTATCTGCGTCATTCGCTATTGGTAGTGGGTATCGCTCGCCGGGGTATGAAGATTCAGATATGTTAAAAGTAGCAACCTTTTTAATGAATGACGGAGAATTGTCATTTATGTCTAAAATATTCACCTCAATGCGGTGGAGAAGCATAGGATGGCTCAATATGGCCTCTATATTTAGAGAGCACTTTACCATATTCGGACAAAGCTCCTCTCTGTCTATTCTCTCGTTAACGAACAGTACCCCTGTTTTCAAATTCACATCAAAATACCTCTTACTATGTCCCGATACAATCTTTAGACCCCTCGACTCCAGTTCGAGTACATTCAGGTTAAAATCCTTAGCTAGATTCCCCACAAACGTGCCTTTGTCCACCTCCTCTGAAACGGAGTAAGAGATCTGCGCTGCAGACCAGTCAAATAAACAAAGCAACGCGACGCACTGAATCCAAACGCCTTCTCTTTGTCTTCGATGATCCATCGCTGCTTGTACAAAATACATTAATCCAACAGAATATAGTCACATATCCACGAAACCTAAAAATCCGTAAAATATCAAAGATCCACCCAGCCCTTTCCGTCTCACCACCATTCGAGTGTTTCGCTTCACAAAGCTCTCGAGACCGGTGACGCTAGGCTCCTTTTTTAATTCAGAGAGGAGGAGTCATAGAATATCGGTGACTTCATTTACTTCTGTGGTCTATAGCGACACCATGTGCCACTTGCATTTCACGTGTTGTTAGAATACTGAGATAACCTCAAGTAGACAATGTCATATTGGACATTTACTCACCGAAAGGCCCTTATGTGTTAAAAAGGACAAATGTGCTGTTACATGCAAAACACAGGGAACGTAGCTACATTCAAGTAAATTAACCTCATATAATGAAATACATTTTCACATAGTCATGTTCTGATAACAATGAGAGAAGCTAAAACAATCAAAGACACAAGGCATTGATACGGAAAGCTCAAGGGTCTATCATTGTAATGCTCTCAAGACTGCAAATACACACTACTCACGAACACATTTCCACGATGCATCTGTTCCATTACACCAGTGAAACATAACAATACGTTTACATGCACACTAATAATTCGATATTAAACTGATTATGGCAGTAGACAGATTATGCTATAGTCATGTAAACACCCTACTCTGCTTATCTTAATCAGTGTAAGGTCAAAATCAAATCAAATTAATTGTATTTGCACATGCACTGAATACAACAGGTGTAGTAGACCTTAGCGTGAAATGCTTACTTACAAGCCCTCAACCAACAATGCAGTTCAAGAAATAGAGTTAAGAAAATATTTACTAAATAAACGAAAGTAAAAAATAAAATTAAAAAAAGTAACACAATACAATTGTGTTACTCTGTAGCTCAGCTGGTAGAGCACGGCGCTTGTAACGCTAAGGTAGTGGGTTCGATCCCCGGGACCACCCATACACACAAAAAAAAAAATGTATGCACGCATGACTGTAAGTCGCTTTGGATAAAAGCGTCTGCTAAATGGCATATTAAATAACGAGGCTATATACAGGGGGTACCGGTACAGAGTCAATATGTCGAGGTAGTTTGTACATGTAGGTACGGGGGTCAATGTAAATAGTCTAGGTGGCCATTTGATTAATTGTTCAGCATTCTTATAGCTTGGGGGTAGAAGCTGTGTGGTAGCACAGAGAACAGTCTATGACTTGGGTGAATGGAGTCTTTGACAATTTTTTGGTCCTTCCTCTGACACCGCCTGGTATAGAGGTCCTGGATGGCAGGAAGCTTGGCCCCAGTGATGTATTGGGCCGTACGTACTACCCTCTGTAGGGAAGTAAGCATACGCCGTTTAATACACCTGGTTTCCTGAGCAATCTTTCGATTTATTAGGACATGTAAACACCTTAATCGGCCTTCCAGTGGTGCATTTGATCTGCACATGTGCTAGCACCAGCCGAGCGAGCCTCCCTCTGTAGTGCGAGTGAAGTGTGTTCAGAACAACTGAATGTATGCATCTTAGAAGTAGTTTTAACATACACACGTTATATGTCTGAACTCAGAATCAAATATGCTTCCCAAAAATAACATTTTTAGCTGTGGTAGAACGTTTATTTTCATTGACGATTTTCTGCATTTATCAGTGCCATCAGGTAGCCTGATTTTAAATGTGTTCATGTAAACAATATTATTAGGGAAATCGTTATTCTTGCAAAGCATGTAAACGTTTTAATCGAACTAATATATGAATCTGACTATCCACAATAATCACATTATTTTGTGCATGTAATCAGCACAGAGCACAAACGGTTTCCTTGCCATGGACTGTGCTACAGGATTTAACCACTTGCTGAACATAGACCTCTGAAAGGAATATCCACAGTTGAAATGGATAAAGAATTCACCTTCATGGTGACAAAGTCATTGGCAATTGTGTAGCCTATTATCATTCTCAACATGATGTATCTGTATATTTCCCATACGTAGTAAACGTTCCTGCCTATTTTCACACAACACCCTATACACACATTACACTTTGCTGGGGACTGAAAGATTTACACATTTGTGAAGTGCAACATTTTTGTAGCATACAGCATCAAGGAAAGCAATTCACACGTCATAGAGCATTGCACGCTTGGCACCAATCTTTAGCTTCGAAGTTTAGCGCGCCTTCAGAACCATGGACAGCAACACTCACTTTATGAAGCCAGGAGGCCATGCGCACAGTGCAAAACAAAGTCAATGTGAAAACTTTGGAGAGGATAGCTGTTTTCAAAGTAAGAGCAACTTTGAAAACAATATTCTTTGACTGCGAGTTCAAAGGAGTAAAATATATATAATTCAATATAAAATGTATAGGCCGGATTATTTATAGATCTTACCTTCTCCTGGTTTGGTAATGTTTGAGTCCTGTTAAACGTGTCATTTCCATTAATACTGATCAGTTCTGCATCTGCAGGTGGATATGGCGCGGGGAAAACCACTACGTCACTCTTCAGTGTGTCTGAGCTGAAACACACGTCATACTGCTGAGTAGATTTAGAGTAAGACCAGCTCCCGTCAGGATGTGTGGTGATCATTGGGGCGCTGTACCTGCTGAAACTGTCGTCTGTCCTGTGGCATTTTACAGCTATTAAACTGATGAGGCTCAGTAAAAATATCACTGACACCGAGGCAATGGCGATCAGCAAATACAGGTTTAAATCAGAGAAGCTCTCCTCCTTTCTCGGTACATTTCTGAATTGAGTCTGGATTTCACCTGTATTTTCAACCACCACTACGTCAATAGACACAGTCGCTGACAATGAGGGTTCTCCGTTATCAGAAACTAACACGACCAATGGGTGAGTTTTCAAGTCATTGTCACTCATTCGCCTCTTAGTCCTTAGTTCCCCGGTGCTGGTTCCAATTCGGAAGAGGTTGGTTCCCTTGGGCTCAGAGATGTGATAAGAAAGCAACGCATTGTAGCCAGAGTCGGAGTCTACAGCCCTGATCTTGGCCACAAAGTAGCCCGCTTCAGCAGAATAGGGAATGTTCTCAGTGTTAACGGAGCCGTGCTCAGAATAGGGCGCGAGAATCCCAGGACTGTTGTCATTCTCATCCAGGATAAACACGTTCACTGTCACGTTGCTGCTGAGAGGAGGAACACCAGAGTCTGTGGCCTGAACTTTAAACTGGAGCTTTTTTATCTCCTCATAGTTAAAATACTGCAGACTGACTATATCTCCTGTTTCTGAGTTTATATTTACAGACGATGATATTGGAACACTTTTATCTAACAAAGAATACGTCATCTTTGCATTTTCATCTGAATCAGGATCAAAAGCAGATATTGTATAAATTACCTCACCTACCGGACTGTTCTCTTTCACATAAACATTAATCACGGGTTCTGAGAAGTGAGGAGCATTGTCATTCACATCAGAAACGTGTACAGTAATAACGCTGGTGCTGGAGAGAGGCGGGGTCCCTTCATCCGTAGCTGTGATGGTGACATTATACTGAGAAGCGCTCTCTCTGTCAAGAGGCCCGTCTACCACTAAAGAATAATCGTTTTTGTAGTTCGAATTTAGTTTAAAAGGAACAGAGCCAACAAGTTTACAGTTGGTGAGGCCATTTTTACCTCCATCTTTATCAGTTACTGTGACCAAGGCGACCACAGACTTTAAATCAGCATCCTCTTTCACTGGGCTCATAAGTGACGTCACTGATATTTCAGGGGCATTGTCATTGACATCAATAACTTCCACTAACACTTTACCATGCGCACTGCGGGGAGAGTGGCCACGATCTGACACCTGCACACGAATTTCGTATGCAGCGTTTTCCTCATAATCTAACTTCCCCTTAACTTTAATTTCACCTGTGTCTGAATTTATGGAAAATGTATCGGCAGGGTTAAAATGTCCCCGTTCAATGAAAGAATAAACTAGATCACTATTTACCCCCTCGTCTAAATCAGTAGCGGTGATTGTTATTAAAGATGTCGCAAAGGCAACATTTTCAGAAACACGTGCCTTGTAAAGGGATTGGCTAAACACTGGCGTATTGTCATTCACATCCATTACGTTAACAATAATCTGTAACGTTCCGGATCTTGGAGGTTTTCCTCCATCTACAGCGGTCAGGGTGAGCTGGATCACAGGCTGTTTCTCTCGGTCTAAAGCTTTCTGCAGCACTAACTCAGCAGAAACACTCTGCTCTCCACCACTCTGTACATCCAGGGAGAAGTGTTCATTCGGGCTCAGTTTGTAGCTCTTTACCGAGTTACTGCCCGTATCTGCGTCATTAGCTACCGGTAGAAGGTATCTCTCACCGGGATATGAGGATTCTGACATATTTAATAATTTCACGGTTTCACGAAAAGATGGTGCATTATCATTTATGTCAAAGATATTCACCTCTATGCGGTGGAGCTGCGTAGGATGGCTCAATATGGCCTGTATGTTTAGGGAGCACTTTACCGTATTGGGACAAAGCTCCTCTCTGTCTAGCCTCTCCTTAACGTATAGAATTCCTGTTTTCAAATTCGCCTCGAAATACCTCTTAGGCCTACCGTGTCCCGATACAATCCTTAGACCCCTCGACTCCAGTTCGTGTACATTCAGGTTTAAATCCTTAGCTAGATTCCCCACAAACGTGCCTTTGTCCACCTCCTCTGAAACGGAGTAAGAGATCTGCGCTGCAGACCAGTCAAATAAACAAAGCAACACGACGTACTGAATCCAAATGCCTTCTCTTTGCCGTTGACTACCCATCGCTGCTTGTAAAAAATGAATTATTCCAGTAGAATAGTCACATATCCATGAATTCCCAAAAATCTATTGAAGAGATCCTGTACACAGCCAAGCCCTCTCCATCTCACCACCGTTCGAGCGTTTCTGATCACAAAGCGCTCGGGAGTGGTAACGCTATTTTCTTTCTTATTAAGAGAGGAGGAGTCATAGAATATCAGCGACTACATTCATTTCTGTGGTCTATAGTGACACCATGTGTTACTGTTATACATTGCCTATATTACTCATGCAAAATAAGAGCGTATAGTATTTCACTTGTTGTTAGAATTTCACTTTTGTTAGAAAACTGAGAATACTCGTGTTGAACATTCACTACCCGAAATGCCTAGCTATGTATTTAAAAGGACAAACGTTATGTTCAATGCAAAACACAGGGAAAGTAGCTAAAGAAAAATCAACCTCATATAGTAAAATAAATGTTCACATAGTCATGTTCTGATAACAATGACAGAAGTCATAATAAAGAGGGATATTGATATGGAAAGCTCAAGAAGTAAACAGTGTGACGCTCTCAAGACTGCAAAGAAACAATCCTCAAAAGTGAATTCCCAAATTGCATCTATTCCATTACACTAGTGACAATTTTTACCTAAAAAGACCACTGCCCCCATCTGCAGAGAGCAAAAACGGTTTCAACACTATGGACAGCACTCGGTAAGATTTCACCGCTTGCTGAACATAGATGGACCTTTGAAAACAAATATAGGTGTACACGGTTGAAATTGATAAATATACTACAGTATGCGCCTTCAGGCTGGCAATGTCTATGATCATTATGTAGCCTATATCATCAATCTGCAACATAATGCATCTTTATATTTCCCATACGTTCCAGCTTATTTTCTTGCAATACCCTAGTATACAAATGCTAGGGTAAGACAATTTTACAAATTCGTGAAGCTTAAACACTATTGAAAAGTGTCATAGAAAGCCATTCATTCATACGTCATGGAGCATTGAACAATTGGCGCGAATCTTCATTTCAGAAGTTTAGCGCAACTTCAGCACCATGGACAGCAAATATCGCTTTATGAAGCCAGGAGGCCAAACGCATAGTGCAAAACAAATCCAAAGTGATAGCTCTGAAGTGGATGGCTGTTTTCAAGGTAAGAGGAACTTTTAAAACAGTTATCTTTGACTAGGTGGAGTTCAAAGGAGTAATACATGTAGCTATAATTCAATAGACACATAGGCTCGTTTATGAATAGATCTTACCTTCTCTTTGTTGGGTAATGTCTGAGTCCTGTCAAACGTGTCATTTCCATTAATACTGATCAGTTCTGCATCTGCAGGTGGATATGGTGCGGGGAAAACTACTACGTCACTCTTCAGTGTGTCTGAGCTGAAACACACGTCATACTGCTGAGTAGATTTAGAGTAAGACCAGCTCCCGTCAGGATGTGTGGTGATCATTGGGGCGCTGTACCTGCTGAAACTGTCGTCTGTCCTGTGGCATTTTACAGCTATTAAACTGATGAGGCTCAGTAAAAATATCACTGACACCGAGGCAATGGCGATCAGCAAATACAGGTTTAAATCAGAGAAGCTCTCCTCCTTTCTCGGTACGTTTCTGTATTGAGTCTGGATTTCACCTGTACTTTCAACCACCACTACATCAATAGACACAGTCGCTGACAGTGAGGGTTCTCCGTTATCAGAAACCAACACGACCAACGGGTGTGTTTTCAGGTCATTGTCACTCATTCGCCTCTTAGTCCTTAGCTCCCCGGTGCTGGTTCCAATTCGGAAGAGGTTGGTTCCCTTGGGCTCAGAGATGTGATAAGAAAGCAGCGCATTGTAGCCAGAGTCGGAGTCTACAGCCCTGATCTTGGCCACAAAGTAGCCCGCTTCAGCAGAATAGGGAATGTTCTCAGTGTTAACGGAGCCGTGCTCAGAATAGGGCGCGAGAATCCCAGGTCTGTTATCATTCTCATCCAGGATAAAAACGTTCACAGTCACGTTGCTGCTGAGCGGAGGAACACCAGAGTCTGTGGCCTGAACTTTAAAATTGAAAGTTTTTATATCTTCATAGTTAAAAGACTGCAGACTGACTATATCTCCTGTATCTGAGTTTATATTTACAGACGATGATATTGGAATATGTTTATCTAATAACGAATACGTCATCTTTGCATTGTCATCTGAATCAGGATCAAAAGCAAACATCTTATAAATGACCTCACCTACCGGACTGTTCTCTTTGACATAAACATTAATCACGGGTTCTGAGAAGCGAGGAGCGTTGTCATTCACATCAGAAACGTGAACAGTAATAACGCTGGTGCTGGAGAGAGGCGGGGTCCCTTCATCCGTAGCTGTGATGGTGACATTGTAATGAGAAGCGCTCTCTCTGTCAAGAGGCCCATCGACCACTAACGAATAATAGTTTTTATAGTTCGACTTTAGTTTAAAAGGAACAGAGCCAACAAGTTTACATTTGGTGAGGCCGTTTTTCCCTCCATCTTTATCTATCACAGTTACCAAGGCGACCACTGTCCCCATTTCACTATCCTCTTTCACTGGGCTCATAAGTGACGTCACCGAGACTTCAGGAGCATTGTCATTGATATCAATGACTTCTACCAACACTTTAGAATAACCACTGCGGGGTGAGGGACCTTGGTCCGTTGCTTGCACCCGGATTTCATACGCAGCATTTGCCTCATGATCCAAATTGGCCTTTACAGTCATTTCACCAGTGTCTACATTTAGGGCAAACATATCAGCAGGATTCAGATTCCCACGCTCAATAAATGAATACACAAGTTTACTGTGTATTCCTTCGTCTAAATCAGTAGCACTGAGTGTTAAGACTGTATAACCTAAAGGTACATTCTCAGGCACACTGACCTTGTACAGCGGCTTGCTAAATGTGGGTGAATTATCATTAGCATCTATGACATTTACAACTATAGGCAGCGTTCCAGATCTTGGAGGTTTTCCTCCATCTACAGCGGTCAGTGTGAGCTGGATCACAGGCTGTTTCTCTCTGTCTAAAGCTTTCTGCAGCACTAACTCAGCAGACACACTCTGCTCTCCACCGTTCTGTACATCCAGGGAGAAGTGTTCATTTGGGCTCAGCTTGTAGCTCTTTACCGAGTTACTGCCCGTATCTGCGTCATTCGCTATTGGTAGTGGGTATCGCTCGCCGGGGTATGAAATTTCAGATATGTTAAAAGTAGCAACCTTTTTAATGAATGACGGAGAATTGTCATTGATGTCTAAAATATTCACCTCAATGCGGTGGAGAAGTATAGGATGGCTCAGTATGGCCTCTATATTTAGAGAGCACTTTACCGTATTCGGACAAAGCTCCTCTCTGTCTATTCTCTCGTTAACGAACAGTACCCCTGTTTTCAAATTCGCATCAAAATACCTCTTACTATGTCCCGATACAATCCTTAGACCCCTCGACTCCAGTTCGTGTACATTCAGGTTTAAATCCTTAGCTAGATTCCCAACAAACGTGCCTTTGTCCACCTCCTCTGAAACGGAGTAAGAGATCTGCGCTGCAGACCAGTCAAATAAACAAAGCAACGCGAAGCACTGAATCCAAACGCTTTCTCTTTGTCTTCGATGATCCATTGTTGCATGTACAAAATAAATGAATCCAATAGAATATAGTCACATATCCATGAAACCTAAAAAAATTATCCGTTAGAGAGATCCTGTACACAACCTAGCCCTCTCCGTTCCACCACCATTTAAGTGTTTCTCGTCACAAAGCGCTCGGGAATAGTGACGCTATTCTCTTTTCCATTCAGAGAGGAGGAGTCATGGAATATCAATTTCTGTGGTCTATTGCGACATCGTGTGTTGTATATAGCCTATATTACTAATGTAATATAAGAGTGTATATTATTTGACTAGTTAGAATACTGAGATAATCTCTAGTAGACGGTCTCATGTTGAACATTCACTACACGAAATGCCTATGTATTTAAAGGAAAAGCGTTCTATTCAATGCAAAACACAGACAAACTAGCTAAAGAAAAGTCAACCTAATATAATTAAATAAATGTTCAGATAGTCATGTTCTGATAACAATGACAAGCTATAACAATCAAAGGGGAGTAAAGGCTCCCGAGTGGCGCAGCGGTCTAAGGCACTGCATCTCATCTCAGTGCTTGAGGCGTCACTACAGACCCCCTGGTTCGATTCCAGGCTGTATCACAACCGGCCGTGATTGGGAGTCCCATAGGGCGGCGCACAATTGGCCAAGCCTCTTCCAGTGTAGGCCGTCATTGTAAAGAATATTTTGTTCTTAACTGACTTGCCTAGTTAAATAAAGGGAAAATAAAAAAAGACAGATGGGATATTGATATACAAAGCTCAAGGGGGTTTAACAGTGTGATGCTCCCTAGACCGCAAAGTAACAATTCTTAAACTTGAATTACCACCTTGAATCTATTCCATTACACCAGTGACAAGTATTAATCTAAAGAGAACACTGCTCCTATCAGCAGAGAGCAAAAACTGTTTCAGCACCACGGAAAGCACCCGGTAAGCTTTCACCGCTTGCTGAACATAGTCCGTTGGAAAAAAATGCGATGGATACAGATGCAGTAGGCATATGCACCTTTAGGCTGACAATGTCAATACTAGTTGTGTGGCCTATATCATCAATCTGAAAAAATTATGCATCTGTATATTTCCCATATGTTGTTTACGTTCCTGTGTATTTTCTCACAATACCCTACAAACTTATGACTTTGCTGGGGTTTGACACATTTACACATTCGTGAAGCGCAACAAAAATGTACAGCTTCATAAAAATCAATTTATACCTCATAGAGCATTGCACGCTTGGCGGAACCCTCAGCTCTGAAGTTTAACACGCATTCAGAACCATGGACAGCAACACTCGCTTTATGAAGCCAGGAGGCCATACATAGAGTGCAAAACAAAGCCAATGTGAAAACTCATGAGTTGATGGCTGTTTTCAACGTAATATCAACTTTGAAAACAATATTCTTTGACTGCGAGTTCAAAGGAGTAAAACAAATATGCTTCAACAGAAAATGTATAGGCCGGTTTATGTAGAGACCTTACCTTCTCTTTGTTGGGTAATGTTTGAGTCCTATTAAACGTGTCATTTCCATTAATACTGATCAGTTCTGCATCTGCAGGTGGATATGGCGCGGGGAAAACCACTACGTCACTCTTCAGTGTGTCTGAGCTGAAACACACGTCATACTGCTGAGTAGATTTAGAGTATGACCAGCTCCCGTCAGGATGTGTGGTGATCATTGGGGCGCTGTACCTGCTGAAATTGTCGTCTGTCCTGTGGCATTTTACAGCTATTAAACTGATGAGGCTCAGTAAAAATATCACTGACACCGAGGCAATGGCGATCAGCAAATACAGGTTTAAATCAGAGAAGCTCTCCTCCATTCTCGGTACATTTCTGAATTGAGTCTGGATTTCACCTGTACTTTCAACCACCACTACATCAATAGACACAGTCGCTGACAGTGAGGGTTCTCCGTTATCAGACACCAACACGACCAACGGGTGAGTTTTCAGGTCATTGTCACTCATTCGCCTCTTAGTCCTTAGTTCCCCGGTGCTGGTTCCGATTCGGAAGAGGTTGGTTCCCTTGGGCTCAGAGATGTGATAAGAAAGCAGCGCATTGTAGCCAGAGTCGGAGTCTACAGCCCTGATCTTGGCCACAAAGTAGCCCGCTTCAGCAGAATAGGGAATGTTCTCAGTGTTAACGGAGCCGTGCTCAGAATAGGGCGCGAGAATCCCAGGTCTGTTGTCATTCTCATCCAGGATAAAAACGTTCACTGTCACGTTGCTGCTGAGCGGAGGAACACCATAATCTGTAGCCTGAACTTTAAACTGGAAAGTTTTTATCTCCTCATAGTTAAAAGACTGCAGACTGACTATATCTCCTGTATCTGAGTTTATATTTACAGACGATGATATTGGTACACTTTTATCTAATAAAGAATATGTCATCTTTGCATTGTCATCTGAATCAGGATCAAAAGCAGACATCTTATAAATGACCTCACCTACCGGACTGTTCTCTTTGACATAAACATTAATCACGGGTTCTGAGAAGCGAGGAGCGTTGTCATTGACATCAGAAACGTCTACAGTAATAACGCTGGTGCTGGCGAGAGGCGGGGTCCCTTCATCCGTAGCTGTGATGGTGACATTATACTGAGAAGCACTCTCTTTGTCTAGAGGCCCATCAACCACTAGTGAATAATCGTTTTTATAATTCAATTTCAATTTAAAGGGCACTGGCCCAACAAGTTTACTGTTAGTGAGGCCATTTTTACCACCATCTTTATCTGTAACTGTCACCAAGGCGACCACTGTCCCTATCTCCGCATCCTCTTTCACTGGGCTCATGAGTGACGTCACATATATTTCTGGGAAATTGTCATTCAAATCAATAACTTCCACTAATAGTTTACCGTGTGCACTACGGGGTGATGAGCCTTGGTCAGTCGCCTGCACACGAATTTCATATGCAGGACTTTCCTCATAATCCAAACTTCCCTTAACTGTGATTTCTCCAGTGTCTGAATTTATATCAAACATATCAGAGGGGTTCACGTTACCACGTTTGATAAAGGAAAATACAACTTTACCGTTGACTCCCTCATCTAAATCTGTGGCATTTAGCTGAATCACTCTAGTTCCGAACGGAACATTTTCATTAACGCGAACCTTGTACAGCGGCTTACTGAACGTGGGTGAATTATCATTGGCATCAATTACATTCACTATTATCAGCAATGTCCCAGATCGTGGAGGTTTTCCTGCATCTACAGCAGTCAGTGTTAGCTGGATAACGGGTTGTTTCTCTCGGTCTAAAGCTTTCTGCAGCACTAACTCAGCAGACACACTCTGCTCTCCACCGCTCTGTACATCCAGGGAGAAGTGTTCACTCGGGCTCAGCTTGTAACTCTTTACCGAGTTACTGCCCGTGTCTGAATCAATTGCTATCGGTAAAAGGTATCGCTCGCCTGTGGATGATGATTCAGAAATGTTGAATGAGTAGAATTTTTCAAGGAAAGATGGTGCATTGTCATTTACGTCTAAAATATTAACCTCAATGCGGTGGAGCTGCGTAGGATGGCTCAATATGGCCTGTATGTTTAGCGAACACTTCATCGCATTCGAACAAAGCTCCTCTCGATCTATCCTCTCATTAATGTACAGAACCCCTGTTTTTAAATTGGCATCGAAATACCGCTTACTCTGTCCCGATACAATCCTTAAACCCCTCGACTCCAGTTCCTGTACATTAAGGTTTAAATCCTTAGCTAGATTCCCCACAAACGTGCCTTTGTCCACCTCCTCTGAAACGGAGTAAGAGATCTGCGCTGCAGACCAGTCAAATAAACAAAACAACGCGACGCACTGAATCCAAATGCTTTCTCTTTGTATTCGACGACCCATCGCTGCTTGTACAAAGCGTATTATTCCAGAAATCGAAGTCGCATGTCCATTAAAACCACAAAAATCCGTCAAGTAAGAGATCCACACAACCCAGCCCTCTTCCTATCATCACAATTCGAGTGTTTCTCTTGACAAAGCGCTCCGGACATGTGACGGTGTTCTTTTTTCATTCAGAGAGGAGGAGTCATATAATATCAGTGACTCCTCTCCCATTCGTGGTCTATAGCGACACCATGTGTTACTTGTTTGATTTAATTAATATGTTTATACCACATCATTAACTTATTGTGATAGTAGTAAGCAAATAGAAAATATGACTGTAAACGTAGCCAGTGGCCAATGTTGTACTAACTATGAATCAACCACATGATAGAGTCAAGTTTGAATACAGTTGCTCAAATTGGGACGTGTAAAACGGTAAACACTGGGGAACAATTAAAATGAGTATCAATAGTCATGTAAAGTCGTGGTGATACAGGGTAGTAATAAGGACAGCTGACGAAGACTCAGGAAACCAAATACAGGAGGCCCTATTGATCGCCCATATAAAATAGAAAAATGCCATATTGAATGTTCATGGGGAAGATAAAGCAGAGAGCAAAAAATAGATTTCAAACCAACTTTCTACATCACTTGAATAAGTCAATTCCACTTTCAACGATGAAAAGCATCGATCCGAAAAGGCTTCTGCCCTTCGAAACGAAAGAAAGCTAACTGTTTCAGCACCACGGAGAGCGTCTGTGCTTTCACGGCTATGTTCTTATGCACATTTCCTAGCAATTTATGCCCACAAATATTCTCATAAGATATCAAAAACGAAATGTACCATGCAAACATATGTATGATAACTCTGAAACCATTTGATAAATCTCTGTCATTATCTCAAAAACTGCAGTACCGAAGCTGGAGTTTAAAACACATTCACACATTCCTGAAGCGTATTACTCTTACCTTCTCCTGGTTTGGTAATGTTTGAGTCCTGTTAAACGTGTCATTTCCATTAATACTGATCAGCTCTGCATCTGCAGGTGGATATGGTGCGGGGAAAACCACTACGTCACTCTTCAGTGTGTCTGAGCTGAAACACACGTCATACTGCTGAGTAGATTTAGAGTAAGACCAGCTCCCGTCAGGATGTGTGGTGATCATTGGGGCGCTGTACCTGCTGAAACTGTCGTCTGTCCTGTGGCATTTTACAGCTATTAAACTGATGAGGCTCAGTAAAAATATCACTGACACCGAGGCAATGGCGATCAGCAAATACAGGTTTAAATCAGAGAAGCTCTCCTCCGTTCTCGGTACATTTCTGAATTGAGTCTGGATTTCACCTGTACTTTCAACCACCACTACATCAATAGACACAGTCGCTGACAATGAGGGTTCTCCGTTATCAGAAACCAACACGACCAATGGGTGAGTTTTCAGGTCATTGTCACTCATTCGCCTCTTAGTCCTTATTTCCCCGGTGCTGGTTCCGATTCGGAAGAGGTTGGTTCCCTTGGGCTCAGAGATGTGATAAGAAAGCAGCGCATTGTAGCCAGAGTCGGAGTCTACAGCCCTGATCTTGGCCACAAAGTAGCCCGCTTCAGCAGAATAGGGAATGTTCTCAGTGTTAACGGAGCCGTGCTCAGAATAGGGCGCGAGAATCCCAGGTCTGTTGTCATTCTCATCCAGGATAAAAACGTTCACAGTCACGTTGCTGCTGAGCGGAGGAACGCCAGAGTCTGTGGCCTGAACTTTAAACTGGAAAGTTTTTATATCTTCATAGTTAAAAGACTGCAGACTGACTATATCTCCTGTATCTGAGTTTATATTTACAGACGATGATATTGGAACACTTTTATCTAATAACGAATACGTCATCTTTGCATTGTCATCTGAATCAGGATCAAAAGCAGACATCTTATAAATGACCTCACCTACCGGACTGTTCTCTTTGACATAAACATTAATCACGGGTTCTGAGAAGCGAGGAGCGTTGTCATTCTCATCAGAAACGTGAACAGTAATAAAGCTGGTGCTGGAAAGAGGCGGGCTGCCTTCATCCGTAGCTGTGATGGTGACGTTATATTGAGAAGCGCTCTCCCTGTCCAGATGCCCATCTACCAGTAAAGAATAATCGTTTTTGTAGTTCGACTTTAGTTTGAAAGGAACAGACCCTACGAGTTTACAGTTACTGAAGCCATTTTTACCTCCATCTTTATCTGTAACTGTCACCAAGGCAACCACTGTCCCTATCTCAGCATCCTCCTTCACTGGGCTCATAAGTGACGTCACAGATATTTCGGGAGCATTGTCATTGATATCAATAATTTCAACCAACACTTTAGAGTAACCACTGCGGGCCGAGGGGCCTTGGTCTGTCGCTTGCACACGTATCTCATATGCTGCATTTTCCTCGTGATCTAAATTCGCCTTTACAGTAATCTCACCACTTTGTGAATCTATGGAGAACATGTCTGCATAGTTGACATTTCCACGCTTCATAAAGCTATATAACATGTCAGCGTTTGGACCCTCGTCTAAATCTGTAGCCTCTAACTTCAATATTTGTGTCCCTAAAGATACATTTTCATTAACACGGACCTTGTATAGTGATTTGCTAAATGTTGGCGAGTTATCATTGACATCTATTACGTGAACTATGATTTGTGACGTCCCAGATCTGGGAGGTTTTCCACCATCTAGAGCGGTCAGTGTGAGCTGGATCACAGGCTGTTTCTCTCGGTCTAAAGCTTTCTGCAGCACTAACTCAGCAGACACACTCTGCTCTCCACCGCTCTGTACATCCAGGGAGAAGTATTCATTCGGGCTCAGCTTGTAGCTCTTTACTGAGTTACTGCCCGTATCTGCGTCAATAGCTATAGGTAGAGGGTATCTCTCACCGGGTGAAGAAGATTCTGAAATGTTAAATGTATGATATTGTTCTAAGAATGACGGTGCATTGTCATTTGCATCAATAATATTTACTTCAATGCGGTGGAGAAGCATAGGATGGCTCAATATGGCCTGTATATTTAGAGAGCACTTTACCGTATTCGGACAAAGCTCCTCTCTGTCTATTCTCTCGTTAACGAACAGTGTCCCAGTTTTCAAATTAGCCTCGAAATACCTCTTACTCTGTCCGGAAACAATCTTTAGACCCCTTGACTCCAGTTCGTGTACATTCAGGTTTAAATCCTTAGCTAGATTCCCAACAAACGTGCCTTTGTCCACCTCCTCTGAAACGGAGTAAGAGATCTGCGCTGCAGACCAGTCAAATAAACAAAGCAACGCGACGCACTGAATCCAAACGCTTTCTCTTTGTCTTCGATGATCCATTGTAGCATGTATAGAAAAAAAATGAACCCAAAAAGTAAGGTCATGTATCCATCAAAACCCGAAATATTCCGTTATATGTTGGACATTCTGTACACAGCTCAGCCCTCTCCGTCTCATCACAACTCGACTGTTTCTCTTCACAAAGCGCTCTGCCAACCTTATTCTTTTTTTCCTTCAGAGGAGGAGTATTAAAATATCTGTGACTTCTCTGCTTTTCGTGGTCTATAGCGACACCATGTGTTACGTTTTTGATTTAATTCAATTTAAATACTATATAATGTACCTATTGTGATAGTAGTAAGCAAAAAAGCAAAGATCACTGTGTATAACCAGCGACCAATGTTGTCTCAAATCGGAATGAACTACACGATAGAGTCAACCACACCGTAGAGTCGAATTCGAATACACTCGCTCATGATAAGAACTGCAAAATGTGAAATGACAAACTTGGGAACATTTAAAACGAGTTTTTCTTATAGTCACGTATAAATAGTGGTAATAAAGGTTAGACATAAGGACAGATGTCCTTATTTGAATGCATATAACAACTGCCAGATTGAGAGTTAATGGGGAGACAAAGCAGAGAGAGAAACAAACAAAAAATAAAACAAATGTTCTACCACTTGAATGAGTCCATTCCACTTTCAACGATGATAAGCATTGATTCGAAAAGGTCACTGCCCTTCGAAACCAAAGTACACTAACCGTTTCACCACCACCGACAGCGTCCGTACTTTCACAGCGATGTTCTTTTGCACATTGTACAGTATGCCAATACATATTCTCATACGACATAAAAAATAAAATTGACCATGCAAACACGTGTAGGCTTATAAGTCTGAAACCATGATACAACTACAATTGACAAATGTCTGTAATTTTCCCCAAAACTGCAATACCAAACCGTGCTGGGGTTTAAAAAAACATTTACACATTCGTGAAGCATGTTACTCTTACCTTCTCTTTGTTGGGTAATGTCTGAGTCCTGTTAAACGTGTCATTTCCATTAATACTGATCAGTTCTGCATCTGCAGGTGGATACGGCCCGGGAAAAACAACTACGTCACTCTTCAGTGTGTCTGAGCTGAAACACACGTCATACTGCTGAGTAGATTTAGAATAAGACCAGCTCCCGTCAGGATGTGTGGTGATCATTGGGGCGCTGTACCTGCTGAAACTGTCGTCTGTCCTGTGGCATTTTACAGCTATTAAACTGATGAGGCTCAGGAAAAATATCACTGACACCGAGGCAATGGCGATCAGCAAATACAAGTTTAAATCAGAGAAGCTCTCCTCCTTTCTCGGTACATTTCTGAATTGAGTCTGGATTTCACCTGTACTTTCAACCACCACTACATCAATAGACACAGTCGCTGACAGTGAGGGTTCTCCGTTATCAGAAACCAACACGACCAATGGGTGTGTTTTCAAGTCATTGTCACTCATTCGCCTCTTAGTCCTCAGTTCCCCGGTGCTGGTTCCGATTCGGAAGAGGTTGGTTCCCTTGGGCTCAGAGATGTGATAAGAAAGCAGCGCATTGTAGCCAGAGTCGGAGTCTACAGCCCTGATCTTGGCCACAAAGTAGCCCGCTTCAGCAGAATAGGGAATGTTCTCAGTGTTAATGGAGCCGTGCTCAGAATAGGGCGCGAGAATCCCAGGTCTGTTATCATTCTCATCCAGGATAAAAACGTTCACAGTCACGTTGCTGCTGAGCGGAGGAACACCAGAGTCTGTGGCCTGAACTTTAAAATTGAACGTTTTTACCTCCTCATAGTTAAAAGACTGCAGGCTGACTATATCTCCTGTCACTGAATTTATATTGACCATTGTAGACAGCGGTACTGAGTTGCTGTTACTCTCTAAGAATGAGTAGGTCACCTGACCATTTTCATTGACGTCAACATCAACTGCCGACACTGTTTTGATTATCTCACCTACTGGACTGTTCTCTTTGACATAAACATTAATCACGGGTTCTGAGAAGCGAGGAGCGTTGTCATTGACATCAGAAACGTCTACAGTAATAACGCTGGTGCTGGAGAGAGGTGGAGTCCCTTCATCCGTAGCTGTGATGGTGACATTATACTGAGAAGCGCTCTCTCTGTCAAGATGCCCATCTACAACTAACGAATAATAATTTTTATAGTTTGTCTCCAATTTAAAAGGGACTTTATTCTCAACTTCACAATGGACAACTCCATTTTTGCCACCATCTTTATCACTGACTGATACGAGAGCAATGGCAGTGCCAACCTTAGCGTCCTCCTTCACTCTGTCTAAGAGTGACGTCACAGTGATCTCAGGGACATTGTCGTTGAGGTCCACCACTTCTACCAGCACTTTACAATGTGCTGCCATCGGGGGCTGGCCTCTATCGCTTGCCTCTACACGGATCTCAAACGCTTTTCTTTCCTCGAAGTCAATATTGCTTTTTACTGTTATAACGCCAGAGGTGGGGTCGATTTCAAATATATCTAGAATACGGTCTTGATCTTTATTCCTAAGAGAGTAAACAATCTCACTATTTGCACCTTCATCAGCATCCGTCGCGTTCACAGTGATTACCGTTGTTCCTATGAGCACATTCTCGGAAATTCGAGTCTTATACAAAGAGCTACTAAATACCGGAAGGTTATCGTTAATATCTAAAATATTAATTATAATCTGTGACGTGCCAGACCTCTGTGGATTTCCTCCATCTATAGCGGTCAGTGTGAGTTTTATCACAGGTTGTTTCTCTCGGTCTAAAGCTTTCTGCAGCACTAACTCAGCAGACACACTCTCTCCTCCTTTGTGTATGTCAAGAGAGAAGTATTCATTAGGACTAAGCTTGTATGTGCTTACAGTATTCTTACCAACATCCAAATCAGAGGCCTCTGATAAAGTGAATTTAACTCCAGGTAAAGTGCTCTCAGCAACGTTTATAGTTTGTGATTTCGCACTAAATGACGGAGCGTTATCATTAACATCTACAATATTCATTTCTAAACGGTAAAGCTTCAACGGATTGTTGATTACGGCCTCTACACTGACTATACATTTGAGATCCTCTGCACAGAGCTCCTCTCTGTCTATTCTCTCATTCACATAGAGAACACCAGTCTTTAGATTTACCTCGAAATACTTTCTCTTGGACCCAGTGACAATCTGAAACATACGCGACTCCAAATCCTGGATATTGAGGTTCAGATCCTTAGCGATATTTCCCACGGAAGTCCCCGGGTTTACCTCCTCTGAGACGGAGTAGGAGAGCTGCCCGGACACCGCTTCCCAGTAACATTCCAGCAGCAAAAGCACTAAATACGTCACAATAGATATCCTTCCATTCAGTAAAGGCATAATTCCATCGAAAGTGAGCCGATCATAGATACAAAGAGAAGAATATCCGTCAAACAATCAAAGCATCGAAAAAATGTACGTGTCAAATTCAGCTTAATTTCAACACGCTTAACACCTATGTGTACTCCGCTCCGACCAGTCTCCCTCTCGTCCTGCATCTCTTTGTAACAAAGCCCCGAGAAATCTCTTCTCCCTCTGAAACTGGGAGGGGTCTCGAGACCAAATATTATATCTCAATGTCATGGTCAACAGTGACGCCAAGTGGTAAATGTATGAGCTTCAGAAAATCACAATAAATTACATGACACCCAAACACAAGCTAAGCATGATGACTATACTATTCTGAACAAAAATATAAACGCAACATGCAACAATTTCAAAGATTTTACTGACTTACAGTTCACATAAAGAAATCAGTCAATTGAAATAAATGTGTTAGGCACTAATCTATGGATTTCACATGACTGGGCATGGTTGCAGCCATGGGTGGGCCTTGGAGGGCCTAGACCCACCCACTTGGGAGCCATGCCCAGCCATTCCGAATTAGTTTTTCCCTGAAATACTCCTCAGCAATAAGCCCCCCCCCCCCCCCCCAATTCTCTGCCAACAGATCTGGTGGACATTCATGTAGTCAGCATGCCAATTGCACGCTCCCTCACAACTTGAGAGATCTGTGGCATTGTGCTGTGTGACAAAATTGCACATTTTTAAAATTGCCTTTTATTGTACCCAATACAAGGTGCACCTGTGTAATGATCATGCTGTTTAATCAGCTTCTTGATATGCCACACCTGTCAGGTGGATGGATTATCTTGGCAAAGGAGAAATGCTCACTAACAGGGATATAAACAAATTTGTGCACAACATTTTTGAGAAATAAGCTTTTTGTGCATATGGAACATTTCTGGGATCTTTTGTTTCAGCTCATGAAACATGTGACCAACACTTCACATGTTGCGTTTATATTTTTGTTCAGTGTTTATCTGTGCACTTGTGTAAGTTATGTTTACTATAACAAGGTCTACTAAATATACTAGGGCAAGCAAAGCCCTCCATTGGATAAAAAACCTGGCAAAAGCGGACAGCACACAAATTGGTGCGTTTCAGCCCCATGGACAGCGGACACATTATCCTCTAGATAGGGGGCGGCTTGTGAACATTTTTGCAACTTGTTAAAGCAGTAAGTTCCCAATTATTTAACTGATTACTTAAAGGAGACAGAGAAAGCAAAGAACAACGTCATAGATATACATTGGGAAGCACACCAAAGCATACACATTGCTAGCAAAGGGATGGGATGGAAACTGATTTCTGTGTTTAATTTTTTTTATACACATTCGTGAAGCATGTTACTCTTACCTTCTCTTTGTTGGGTAATGTTTGAGTACTGTTAAACGTGTCATTTCCATTAATACTGATCAGTTCTGCATCTGCAAGTGGATTTGGCGCGGGAAAAACCATTACGTCACTCTTCATTGTGTCTGAGCTGAAACACACGTCATACTGCTGAGTAGATTTAGAGTAAGACCAGCTCCCGTCAGGATGTGTGGTGATCATTGGGGCGCTGTACCTGCTGAAACTGTCGTCTGTCCTGTGGCATTTTACAGCTATTAAACTGATGAGGCTCAGTAAAAATATCACGGACACCGAGGCAATGGCGATCAGCAAATACAGGTTTAAATCAGAGAAGCTCTCCTCTTTTCTCGGTACGTTTCTGTATTGAGTCTGGATTTCACCTGTACTTTCAACCACCACTACGTCAATAGACACAGTCGCTGACAGTGAGGGTCCTCCGTTATCAGAAACCAACACGACCAACGGGTGTGTTTTCAAGTCATTGTCACTCATTCGCCTCTTAGTCCGTATTTCCCCGGTGCTGGTTCCGATTCGGAAAAGGTTGGTTCCCTTGGGCTCAGATATGTGATAAGAAAGCAGCGCATTGTAGCCAGAGTCGGAGTCTACAGCCCTGATCTTGGCCACAAAGTAGCCCGCTTCAGCAGAATAGGGAATGTTCTCAGTGTTAACGGAGCCGTGCTCAGAATAGGGCGCGAGAATCCCAGGACTGTTGTCATTCTCATCCAGGATAAAAACGTTCACAGTCACGTTGCTGCTAAGCGGAGGAACACCATAATCTGTAGCCTGAACTTTAAACTGGAATTTTTTTATCTCCTCATAGTTAAAAGACTGCAGGCTGACTATATCTCCAGTCACTGAGTTTATATTGACCATTGTAGACAGCGGAAGTGAGTTGCTGTTGCTCTCTAATAATGAGTAGGTCAGCTGACCATTTTCATTGACATCGGCATCAACTGCAGACACGGTTTGAATTACATCTCCTACCGGACTGTTCTCTTTCACATAAACATTCATCATGGGTTCTGAGAAGCGAGGAGCGTTGTCATTCACATCAGAAACGTGTACAGTAATAACGCTGGTGCTGGAGAGAGGCGGGGTCCCATCATCCGTAGCTGTGATGTTGACATTGTACTGAGACGCACTCTCTCTGTCAAGATGCCCATCGACCACTAAAGAATAATAATTTTTATAGTTGGTCTCTAACTTAAAGGGGACCTTATTCATAACCTTACAATGTACCACCCCGTTTTTGCCACCATCTTTATCGAGGACTGACACGAGAGCAATGACAGTGCCAAACTTAGCGTCCTCTTTCACTGTGTCTAAGAGTGACCTCACAGTAATTTCAGGGGCATTGTCGTTGAGGTCCACCACTTCGACCAGCACTTTACAGTGTGCTGCCATTGGGGGCTGGCCTCTATCGCTTGCCTGTGCACGGATCTCAAATGCAGTATGTTCTTCAAAGTCAATTTTACCTTTAACTGTAATTGTCCCCGTTTTTGGCTCAATATCGAAAATCTCGAGGATATGATCCTTCTCATTTTTGCTGATAGAGTAAACAACTTCACTATTCGTACCCTCATCTAAGTCTGTCGCATTTAAAGTTATGACAGTTGTTCCTATTGGTGTATTTTCAATAATAAGTGTCTTATACAATGACGTAGCGAAAACTGGAGCGTTATCATTAATATCCAGAACATTAACTATTACTTCCAATGTACCTGACCTTGCTGGATTTCCTCCATCTAAAGCGGTCAGTGTGAGCTGGATCACATGCTGTTTCTCTCGGTCTAAAGCATTCTGCAGCACTAACTCAGCAGACACACTCTCACCCCCTTTGTGCACCGCTAAGGAAAAATGCTCGCTAGGGCCAAGTTTGTATGTATTGAGAGCATTCTTTCCAACATCTACATCAGATGCGTCTAACAACGGAAATCGTACCCCTGGAAAAGTGTTTTCAGCAATGTCTATAGTTTGTGATTTGGCTCGGAAAGATGGAGCATTATCATTAACATCTAAAATATGAATTTCTACACGGTAGAGTTTCAACGGATTGTTTATAACGGCCTCTACACTGACTGTACATTTAGGCGCATTTGCACAGAGCTCCTCCCTGTCTATTCTCTCATTCACATAGAGAACACCAGTCTTTAGATTTACCTCGAAATACTTTCTCTTGGACCCGGTGATAATCTGAAACATACGCGACTCCAACTCCTGGACATTGAGATTTAGATCCTTAGCGATATTTCCTACAGAAGTCCCCGGGTTTACCTCCTCTGAGATCGAGTAGGAGAGCTGCCCGGATACCGCTTCCCAGTAACACTCCAGCAGCACAAGCACTAAATACGTCACAATAGAGCTCCTTCTATTCGGTAAAAACATAATTCCATCGAACATGAGCAAAGCATAGATCCAAAGATACGAATATCTGTCAAACAATCAAAGCTTCGAGAAATACGTTTCAAATCCAGAATTTATAAACGGTAAACACTGATGTGGCCTCCGACCAGTCTCTGTCTCTCTCTCTCATCCTGCGTCTCTTTGTAACAAAGCCCCGAGAAATGTACTCACCCTCTGAAACTGGGAGGGGCCTGGAGACACCAAATACAATATCTCATTGCCACGGTCAACAGTGACGCCACGTGGGGAATGTACGCATGGATATATGAGCTTAGATGACATTACATTCCAGAAAACCCAGACACAAGTCAAGGCTAATGATCATAATATCTGATTACATGTGTAAGTTCATATCAGTAGTTCTAATAAATGTACTAAGCGCAATCACTTCATTAGTTCAAACACCAAGAAAAATACAATTTTTCGTTTCAGCACCATGGACAGCACATTGGTGTTTCTGTTTACAACAGGTAAATAAAACGGCATTTTTACAACTTACATAGGCAGTAAAATGTACATTAACGACCACACCATCAAAAATACCTTAAAATGCACAAGAAAGCAGAGTAAATGCTCAGTAAATGACAGGAGAACAAAATATTGATGTACTAATTGAAAACATTATGTCTTACCTTGTCTTTGTTGGGCAATGTTTGAGTCCTGTTAAACGTGTCATTTCCATTAATACTGATCAGTTCTGCATCTGCAGGTGCAAATGGCGCGGGGAAAACCACTACGTCACTCTTCAGTGTGTCTGAGCTGAAACACACGTCATACTGCTGAGTAGATTTAGAGTAAGACCAGCTCCCGTCAGGGTGTGTGGTGATCATTGGGGCGCTGTACCTGCTGAAACTGTCTTCTGTCCTGTGGCATTTTACAGCTATTAAACTGATGAGGCTCAGTAAAAATATCACTGACACCGAGGCAATGGCGATCAGCAAATACAGGTTTAAATCAGAGAAGCTCTCCTCCATTCTCGGTACATTTCTGAATTGAGTCTGGATTTCACCTGCACTTTCAACCACCACTACGTCAATAGACACAGTCGCTGACAGTGAGGGTTCTCCGTTATCAGAAACCAACACGACCAACGGGTGAGTCTTCAGGTCATTGTCACTCATTCGCCTCTTAGTCCTTAGTTCCCCGGTGCTGGTTCCGATTCGGAAGAGGTTGGTTCCCTTCGGCTCAGAGACGTGATAAGAAAGCAGCGCATTGTAGCCAGAGTCGGAGTCTACAGCCCTGATCTTGGCCACAAAGTAGCCCGCTTCAGCAGAATAGGGAATGTTCTCAGTGTTAACGGAGCCGTGCTCAGAATAGGGCGCGAGAATCCCAGGACGGTTGTCATTCTCATCCAGGATAAAAACGTTCACTGTCACGTTGCTGCTAAGCGGAGGAACACCAGAGTCTGTGGCCTGAACTTTAAACTGGAAAGTTTTTATTTCCTCATAGTTAAAAGACTGCAGGCTGACTATATCTCCAGTGACTGAGTTGATATTGACCATTGTAGATAGCGGTACTGAGTTTTTTTTACTCTCTAAGAATGAGTAGGTCACCTGACTATTTTCATTGACGTCAGCATCAACTGCAGACACGGTTTTAATGACATCTCCTACCTCACTGTTCTCTTTCACATAAACATTAATCACGGGTTCTGAGAAGCGAGGAGCGTTGTCATTCACATCAGAAACGTGTACAGTAATAACGCTGGTGCTGGAGAGAGGTGGAGTCCCTTCATCCGTAGCTGCGATGGTAACATTGTAATGAGAAGCGCTCTCTCTGTCTAGAGGACCATCTACAACTAATGAATAATAGTTTTTATAGTTTGTTTCCAATTTAAAAGGGACTTTATTCTGAACATCACAATGGACAACTCCGTTTTGTCCACCATCTTTATCGAGAACTGACACGATGGCAATGGCAGTGCCAACCTTAGCGTCCTCCATCACTGTGTCTAAGAGTGATGCCACAGTGATCTCAGGGGCATTGTCGTTGATGTCTAATACTTCAATCAACAATTTGGAGTGAGATGTCATCGGAGAGTTGGCCCCATCATTTGCTTGAAGACGGATTTCAAAAGCTTTGTTTTCTTCAAAATCTATATTTCTTTTGTTTGTAACAATCCCAGTTTTTGCGTCTACTACAAAAATATCAGCAAAGTTGCCTTTTCCAAACTCGCTAAATGAAAAGAATACTTCACCATTTGGTCCTTCATCTAAATCAGTAGCATTTAGTGTTATTATCGAGTTTCCAATCGGTACGTTTTCATAAACACTGGCTTTGTATAGCGATTTACTGAAAACAGGGGGGTTGTCGTTTATGTCCAACACATTAACTATAACAGCCATGCTGCCAGACTTCGGTGGATTTCCTCCATCTACAGCGGTCAGTGTGAGTTTTATCACAGGCTGTTTCTCTCGGTCTAAAGCTTTCTGCAGCACTAACTCAGCAGACACACTCTCTCCTCCTTTGTGTGTAGCCAGAGAGAAATATTCATTGGGACTAAGCTTGTATATACTAACAGTATTCTTACCAACATCCGCATCATGAGAGGATTTTAGGGGGACTTTAGCACCAGCTAATGTGTTTTCTGTTATATTTATATACTGTGACCTCGTAGGAAAAGACGGGGAATTATCATTAACGTCTAGAATATTTATTTCTATTCGATAAAGCTTCAACGGATTGCTGATAACGGCCTCTACACTGACTGTACATGTCAGATCCTCCGCACAGAGCTCCTCTCTGTCTATTCTCTCTTTCACATAGAGAACACCACTCTTTAGATTTACCTCAAAATACTTTCTCTTGGACCCGGTGACAATCTGAAACATACGCGACTCCAACTCCTGGACATTGAGGTTTAGATCCTTAGCGATATTTCCCACTGAAGTCCCCGGGGCTACCTCCTCTGAGACGGAGTAGGAAAGCTGCCCTGACACCGCTTCCCAGTAACACTCCAGCAGCATAAGCAAAAAATATGGCACAATAGAGCTCCTTCTATTCAGTAAATACATAATTCCATCGAACGTGAGCCAAGCATAGATCAAAAGAGATCAATCAAAGCATAAAACAATATATTAATAAAATCCAATTGAATTTCTACACGGTAAACACCGATGTGACCTTCGACAACCGTCTCTCTCTCGTTCATCGTCTCTTTATAACAAAGCCCCGAGAAATCTCCTCACCCTCTGAAGCTGGGAGGAGCCTCGAGACTCAAATATATAATCTCAAAGCCACGGTCAACAGTGACGCCACGTGGTACCGGAACGAGCTTACAATAATTCAGAAAAACACATTATTCTATTACACAAAGGCACAATCTGAGCATGATAACAATAATATATCTGAGCACATAATGGAAGTTCTGCTCAAAATGCCAGGGTCTACTAAATACAGGCCTACAAAGGGCAAAACAGCTATTTGTTCTAGTAAAAAAACAACGTTTGACCACGAAGGGTTTCAGCACCATGGACAGCGCACCCAAGTTTGAATTTACAGCACGTAAAAACCAAGCCGTATTAACAACTTGTAAAGGAATTAAGAAGTCCATTATTTCACTGAACATTCAGATGAGACAGTGAAGTATATGTCAGCGTCATCAAAACATTGAGAAGCATAAAACAAGGAAAACATGTTCAGTAAAAAAAAGAAAAAGGATTACTATGTTTAGAGAAAACTGTATTTCTTACCTTTTCTTTGTTGGGTAATGTTTGAGTCCTGTTAAACGTGTCGTTGCCATTAATACTGATCAGTTCTTCATCTGCAGGTGGATACTGCACGGGGAAAACTACTATATCACTCTTCATTGTGTCTGAGCTGAAACACACGTCATACTGCTGAGTAGATTTAGAGTAAGACCAGCTCCCGTCAGGATGTGTGGTGATCATTGGGGCGCTGTACCTGCTGAAACTGTCGTCTGTCCTGTGGCATTTTACAGCTATTAAACTGATGAGGCTCAGTAAAAATATCACTGACACCGAGGCAATGGAGATCAGCAAATACAGGTTTAAAACAGAGAAGTTATCCTCCTTTCTCGGTACATTTGTGAATTGAGTCTGGATTTCACCTGTACTTTCAACCACCACTACATCAATAGACACAGTCGCTGACAGTGAGGGTTCTCCATTATCAGAAACCAACACGACCAATGGGTGAGTTTTCAGATCGATGTCACTCATTCGCCTCTTAGTCCTTAGTTCCCCGGTGCTGGTTCCGATTCGGAAGAGGTTGGTTCCCTTGGGCTCAGAGATGTGATAAGAAAGCAGTGCATTGTAGCCAGAGTCGGAGTCTACAGCCCTGATCTTGGCCACAAAGTAGCCCGCTTCAGCAGAATAGGGAATGTTCTCAGTGTTAACGGAGCCGTGCTCAGAATAGGGCGCGAGAATCCCAGGACGGTTGTCATTCTCATCCAGAATAAAAACGTTCACAGTCACGTTGCTGCTGAGAGGAGGAACACCAGAATCTGTGGCCTGTATTTCAAACTGGAAGGTTTTTATCTCCTCATAGTTAAAAGACTGCAGGCTGACAATATCTCCAGTCACAGAGTTTATATTGACCATTGTAGACTGCAGCACTGAGTTGCTGTTACTCTCTAAGAATGAGTAGGTCACCTGACCATTTTCATTGACGTCAGCATCAAATGCTGACACTGTTTTGATTATCTCACCTACCGGACTGTTCTCTTTCACATAAACATTAATCACGGGTTCTGAGAAGCGAGGAGCGTTGTCATTCACATCAGAAACGTGTACAGTAATAACGCTGGTGCTGGAGAGAGGCGGGGTCCCTTCATCCGTAGCTGTGATGGTGACATTATACTGAGAAGCACTCTCTCTGTCAAGAGGCCCATCAACCACTAGCGAATAATAGTTTTTATAGTTAGTCTCTAACTTAAAAGGGACTTTATTCTGAACATCACAATGGACAACTCCATTTTCCCCACCATCTTTATCGAGAACTGACACAATAGCAATTGCAGTGCCAACCTTGGCGTCCTCCTTCACTGTGTCTAAGAGTGACGTCACAGTGATCTCAGGGGCATTGTCGTTGAGGTCCACCACTTCTACCAGCACTTTACAATGCGCTGCCATCGGGGGCTGGCCTCTGTCACTCGCCTGAGCACGGATCTCAAAGGCAGGGATTTCTTCAAAGTCAATATTCCCTTTAACTGTAATGATACCTGTTTTAGAGTCTATTTGAAAAATATCTAAGAAATGGTCCTGTTCCTTGCTCCTAAGAGAGTACACAATTTCACTATTTGTACCTTCATCGACATCGGTTGCATTCAAAGTGATGATTGTTGTACCGAGGGGTAGATTTTCCAAAATTCGAGTCTTATATAATGAACTGCTAAAAACTGGAGCATTATCATTGTTATCCAAAACATTAACAATAATCTTTGAAGTACCAGACTTCGGAGGGTTTCCCCCATCTACAGCGGTCAGTCTGAGATGGATCACAGGCTGTTTTTCTCGGTCTAAAGCTTTTTGCAGCACTAACTCAGCAGACACACTCTCTCCTTCTTTGTGTGTATCAAGCGAGAAGTATTCATTCGGACTAAGCTTGTATGTACTAACAGTATTCTTCCCCACATCAGCATCAGAGGCCTCTGACAGAGCGAATCTTAGTCCAGGTAATGTGCTCTCAGCAATGTCTAAAGATTGTGATTTTATTCTAAAAGACGGATCATTATCATTAACGTCTAAAATATTAATTTCTAAACGGTAAAGCTTCAACGGATTGTTTATAACGGCCTCTACACTGACTGTACATTTCAAAGACTTCGCACAGAGCTCCTCTCGGTCTATTCTCTCATTCACATAGAGAACACCAGTATTTAGATTTACCTCGAAATACTTTCTCTTGGACCCGGTGACAATCTGAAACATACGCGACTCCAAATCCTGGACATTGAGGTTTAGGTCCTTAGCGATATTTCCCACAGAAGTCCCCGGGTTTACCTCCTCTGAGACAGAGTAGGAGAGCTGCCCGGATACCGCTTCCCAGTAACACTCCAACAGCAAAAGCACTAAATACGTCACAATAGAGCACCTATTCGGTAAAGACATAATTCCATCGAATGTGAGCCAAGCATAGATCGAAAGAGATGAATTTCCGTGAAACAATCAAATCATCGAAAAAATATATGTATCAAATCCAGCTGAATTTCAACACGGTAAACGCCGATGCAGCCTCTCTTCATCCTGCGTCTCTTTGTAACAAAGCCCGGAGAAATTTCCTCACCCTCTGAAACTGGGAGGGGCCTCGAAACAGCAAATACAATATCTCAATGCCACGGTCAACAGTGACGCCAAATGGGGAATGTATGAGCTTACACTAACTCAGAAAAACATATTAGCCTACATGTCATGACACACAAACACAAAATCTGAATGAAGACCATAATATCAGAGCACATGTAGGGCTATCTTCTTTTTAATATGAAAAGTTCTAAATGGAGTAATGGCAAAAGCCGCATCTACTACATTAGTTCAAACAACTGGCAAAAGCAGGCAGTGAAAGTCCGTGATACGTTTCAGCACCTTGGACAGAGCACGTATGTTTCTCTTGACGGCGAGCGAAAAGCAAGGAGTTTATTACAACTTGTTAAGGCAGTAAGAGCTCTATTATTTATTTGAAGTAATTTCAATGAGAAAGCGAAACAAAAGACTACGTCATCCAAACACAATGAAAAGTACACCAAAGCAAATGTATTTTTTAAGGTTAGGAGAAAATCGGATTTCTGGTATAACTGAAAACGTAATTTCTTACCTTGTCTTTGTTGGGTAATGTTTGAGTCCGGTTAAAGGTGTCATTTCCATTAATACTGATCAGTTCTGCATCTGCAGGTGGATATGGCGCGGGAAAAACCACAACGTCACTCTTCAGTGTGTCTGAGCTGAAACACACGTCATACTGCTGAGTAGATTTAGAGTAAGACCAGCTCCCGTCAGGATGTGTGGTGATCATTGGGGCGCTGTACCTGCTGAAACTGTCGTCTGTCCTGTGGCATTTTACAGCTATTAAACTGATGAGGCTCAGGAAAAATATCACTGACACCGAGGCAATGGAGATCAGCAAATACAGGTTTAAATCAGAGAAGTTCTCCTCCTTTCTCGGTACATTTCTGAATTGAGTATGGATTTCACCTGTACTTTCAACCACCACTACGTCAATAGACACAGTCGCTGACAGTGAGGGTTCTCCGTTATCAGAAACTAACACGACCAATGGGTGAGTCTTCAGGTCATTGTCACTCATTCTCCTCGTAGTCCTTAGTTCCCCGGTGCTGGTTCCGATTCGGAAGAGGTTGGTTCCCTTGTGCTCAGAGACGTGATAAGAAAGCAGCGCATTGTAGCCAGAGTCGGAGTCTACAGCCCTGATCTTGGCCACAAAGTAGCCCGCTTCAGCAGAATAGGGAATGTTCTCAGTGTTAACGGAGCCGTGCTCAGAATAGGGCGCGAGAATCCCAGGTCTGTTATCATTCTCATCCAGGATAAAAACGTTCACAGTCACGTTGCTGCTGAGAGGAGGAACACCACAGTCTGTGGCCTGAACTTTAAAATTGAACGTTTTTACCTCCTCATAGTTAAAAGACTGCAGGCTGACTATATCTCCTGTCACTGAGTTGATATTGACCATTGTAGACAGCGGTACAGAGTTGCTGTTACTCTCTAAGAACGAGTAGGTCACCTGTCCATTTTCATTGACGTCAGCATCAAATGCTGACACTGTTTTGATTATCTCGCCTACTGGACTGTTCTCTTTCACATAAACATTCATCACGGGTTCTGAGAAGCGAGGAGCGTTGTCATTCACATCAGAAACGTGAACAGTAATAACGCTGGTGCTGGCGAGAGGCGGGGTCCCATCATCCGTAGCTATGATGTTGACATTGTACTGAGACGCACTCTCTCTGTCAAGAGGCCCATCGACCACTAAAGAATAATAATTGTTATAGTTAGTCTCTAACTTAAAAGGGACCTTATTCTTCACCTTACAATGAACAACTCCGTTTTTTCCACCATCTTTATCGAGAACTGACACGAGAGCAATGACAGTGCCCTCCTTAGCGTCCTCCTTCACTGTGTCTAAGAGTGACGTCACAGTGATCTCAGGGGCATTGTCGTTGAGGTCCACCACTTCGACCAGCACTTTACAGTGTGCTGCCATCGGGGGCTGGCCTCTATCACTCGCCTGCGCCCGTATCTCAAAGGCAGGGTGTTCCTCAAAATCAATTTTGCCTTGAACTGTTAATGTCCCTGTAGTTGGGTCAATGTAGAAAACATCTAATATGTGGTCCTGATCTTTTTTGCTCAGAGAATATATTATTTCACTGTTCGCTCCTTCATCTGCATCTGTTGCGTTAAGAGTTAATAATGTTGTCCCAGTCGGAACATTTTCTAAAACGCGAGTCTTATACAACGATTTTGTAAATACTGGAGTGTTGTCGTTATTATCCAAAACAATAACAGTAATTTCCGAGGTGCCTGACTTCGGAGGATTTCCTCCATCTACAGCGGTCAGTGTGAGCTGGATCACAGGCTGTTTCTCTCGGTCTAAAGCTTTCTGCAGCACTAAGTCAGCAGACACACTCCCTCCTCCTTTATGCACCGCTAAGGAAAAATGTTCATTAGAACTAAGCTTGTATGTATTGACACCATTCTTCCCCACATCAGCATCATATGCCGATAGTAGGGGGAATCTAACACCAGACAACGTGCTCTCTGCAATGTCTATACTTTGTGATTTAGCACTGAAAGACGGTGCATTATCATTTGCATCTAAAATATTAATTTCTAAACGGTAAAGCTTCAACGGATTGTTGATAACGGCCTCTACACCCACAATACATTTCGGAGCCTTCGCACAGAGCTCCTCTCTGTCTATTCTCTCATTCACATAGAGAACACCAGTCTTTAGATTTACATCAAAATACTTTCTCTTGGACCCGGTGACAATCTGAAACATACGGGACTCCAAATCCTGGATATTGAGGTTTAGATCCTTAGCGACATTTCCCACAGAAGTCCCCGGGTTTACCTCCTCTGAAACAGAGTAGGAGAGCTGCCCGGATACCGCTTCCCAGTAACACTCCAACAGCACAAGCACTACATACGTCACAATAGAGCTCCTTCTATTCGGTAAAGACATAATTCCATCGAACGTGAGCCAAGCATAGATCCAAAGAGATGAAATTATGTTTTAAAAATCAAGGTTTTGAATAAGGTGTTTGTCAAATCCGGATGCATTTGTAGACTGTATAAACGGACTGATCTATCCTCCGACTAGTCTCTCTCACGTCCTGCGTCTCTTTGTAACAAAGCCTCAAAATATCTCCTCACCCTCTGAAACCGGGAGGGACCTAGAAAGATCCGTGAACATTTCTCACACTAACGGTCAACAGTGACGACAAGTGGTGGAAAAGGTGACGTACAAGTGCCTGCAAAACCCAGCAGATAGGGTGTATGATTCAAGCTCTAGATAGCACGTATCCACTAATCAAATCTGAACAAATAACAACCATGAACGTGAATATCTGGAAGCGAAGTGTATTTTCCAGGCGAAATTGAATAGCTTACAGCACCATGGACAGCACCAGTAGCCTATACAGTTGCCATGGCGCCCTAGCGGCAGCTTAAGTGGAGCTCCTATAAATACATAAATACATAATGTACATATTATGTTATTTTGAAGTGTTTTTAATTGTTGTTTTGAAATCAGCTGTTTTCGTTTTTGATAACATTGAGTCTTTCTTATATATATATATATATATACACAGTTGAAGTCTGAAGTTTACATACACTACAAACCTGACTCAGTTACACCAGCTCTGTCAGGAGGAATGGGCCAAAATTCACCCAACTTATTGTGGGAAGCTTGTGGAAGGCTACCCGAAACGTTTGACCCAAGTTAAACAATTTAAAGGCAATGCTACCAAATACTAATTGAGTGTATGTAAACTTCTGACCCACTGGAAATGTGATGAAAGAAATAAAAGCTTAAATAAATCATTCTCTCTACTATTATTCTGACATTTCACCTTGTTAAAATAAAGTGGTGATCCTAACTGACCTATATATATATATATATATATATATATATATATATATATATATATATATATATATATATATATTCACCCACAGATTGATTGGCAGGTCAACTCTTTTTGGCTTGGCTAGCTTAGCTGCAGCTAATGTTTTGGTTTGAATGATGCATCTGGACATATTTGGTTCACCTGGCTGCTGCTTCCTGATCTTTTGAGAACATTATTTGAGGAGTCGCTTGGCTTGAGAGGAATGGGAGAAGCAGTAGAGGAATGCATTGCTGAGGCAGAGGGCTCGTAGTGAGGAGGACTGGCTACTACTCTGAACTGTGTGTGGTGAGCTTTCTGGCGCCCAGAGCTGCTGAGGCATCACCCAAGTGGGTGCCATACATTGTGAAGGAGAAGTCCAGTGGCTCCACCACTCAGGCTGGTTCCCACAGTAGCCCTCTACATGATTGTCACCAGACTCCATCTCCATCAACCATATCCCTTGCATGCACTCAAAGACTTGGCCTCTATTTGTTGACCTAGCTAGCTTTTGCTAGGCTACTCATGATGATGTATTTATTGTTCTTTTTTAAAACTTTTGAAGTGCTTTGAGAACTTTTTCTATTATGAAAAGTGCTATAGAAGTTTAATCAATAATAATAATAATAATAATAATAATAATAATAATAATAATAATAATAATAATAATAATAATAATTAAAAACTCAGCCACGCTGCATGGAAAAACAAAAGTCATGATGTGTGTGTGCATGTGTGTGTGTGTATGACATTTTTTATTTTTTTTCCGAAAAACGTAACAGCATTCTCTATGCACTGTAATTGACAACTTGATAAGAGCTAGGTAAATGAGTAATCCGTTCGGATAAGGGAATTGTAAAAATAAATGATACTTGTTTTAATCTAAAATGTCTTAATTATAGGATAACCCGACTTTCTCTGTTTCCTATTTCTATCATGTTAAACATTAGCCACTATCAGTATCGACCATCAGTAGGCCTAATAACAACACATATTAAACTGCCAATTTACTGTTAGTTCCCTTCAGTTGATATAGCCTACATTACCATTACATTTAATTACATTATTTAGTTTATCTTCATTTGCTTCCTCTATACGCCGTCACGGTCATGTGGTTGTTGCTGAGGTTCATTAGTAACAGTTGATAATATAAAAAAAACACAGGCTAATGAAATTACTATGGAGCGGAGCGCAGATTAAGCCCTTACAGTTTGAACCATACGCATGGCGCAATACTTGGCTGTGTCATCACACAGTTCCATGGTTAGTGCAGGCAATAGATGAGGGTATAGCCTACTATTGTACACTGTTCTCCCTATTATAATTATATGTACACTAATCTTCCAACATTACCATTGGTTAAACCACTGTTTTCTTTCTTTAGTGCGTAAAGGCTCTCCAGACCTGTTTTTTATGATTCATAAATACTTTCCTAACACTAAATAATCAACAAGATCAGAGTATTTTGAAATCTACCAATTGGTGCTGAAAGGGAGAAGAATATGCATATATTTAGATGGCTTTCTTTCATTGATTCCTAATATTCTGAACCTGTTCTCTCGATATATTCTAGTGAGCCTGTCGACAAAATTCTAACTAAAAGGTACAGCATATTTAAAGGGATAACTAAGATAAATGTACTGAAACCCCTATTGAATGAAAACTCCATGAGAAAATCTGTTGGCCAGCAAGTGGGAGGATTTTCAGCGTTTGAATTAGACTTATTCAGCGCGCACAAGGGAAACACACCTGCAAAGCCTGTTACGCACCCTCATAAGGTAAATCTGAATACCAACTACTGAAAAGTACGTGGGAAAGTCAGTATCGGGCCCTAACTGAACCAATGAACTACTTACACTCAGCTGAACTACACTCTCTAACAACTGAAATTCAAAGCAGAAGAGCTGCTTTTATATCCATGCTTTCAGATGCACAGAGGGACAATCAATAGTTAGTCCAAAAAAATAATAATGAGTACTTTGTAGAAGCTCACCAGAGAAAAGGGATTTCATACAGATGTAGGATCTTACTGTGATCCCCATGTCAATGAACAGAGTAACACAACGCAGGCAGGCCCCCTTTGTGCAGGACATTTTACATTTGTAGTGTATTCGACATTTAAAAAGGCTTCTGCTTGAATTTCCCTTAAGAAAAATGTATCAACCCCTACAAATATTTCCATTCATTATAATCCACATAATAATTCAAATTTCCTGCTGCTGCAGGATTAACTTCCTGCTGTAGCAAATTGGCTCAAATTAAGATCTTACATCTGTATTCAAATCTATGCAGTGCTTAGTGATCTATCAACATTAAAGCCCTGTCTTGTGGTTTTTATGCAAACAGAAATAGGATAAACGAATGGAAATAATATATCATTGCTTTTCAGGAACTCACTAGTAACTAATAATGTTTCGATCCACCCACTACTGTAAACTAAATGCTAGCTGACCCATATCCGGCCACTGATAGATGGCATTGGAGGCTTATATCCATCTCTGCCATTGACCAATCCTGAGTGGAGTGTAGCATCAGGCCTTAAACAGAGCATGCTCAGTAGGGTTGTGCCGTGTGAGATTGATTATTCCTCTGAGGTGTGAAATATGCTGATGTCACAGACCAACCACATCACTTCCTCTACCACTGCTGGCTACTGCTGGGCTGGGCCGGTAGAGGATCCGCAGAGGGGTCAATGAAACAATTAGCATTAGAGACACAGATGCACACACACACACACACACACTCTGATGGGCATAAGTGGGCCACAAAGGGGGCCTGCCTGCGTTGTGTTACTCTGTTCATTGATGCAGGGCCGGCTGTGCTCTGCACTCCCACAGATTTCTGGGTATTTTGGTTTATTTTTTTGGTGTTACCCTGCATCTCCATGGAGACAGCGGTTATGAGCTTATGGACGTTGGGCTGTTTGTAATCCCAGGATTAGGCCCTGTGTGCAGGGGCTCCTGTCCCATTTCCATTCAGTGGGAAACATATGATTTGAAATATTAATAATCATCAGATTCTGAGTCATAATCGTCTTCCCCCTATGCCCAATAACAATAATAGCATGCAGGTCTCTGATCAGAGGATTTCTAGGTCACAATAGGGGTGACGAGAGCAAAAACATAATCATTCTTGCACACACCTACGCACTCTCTCTTACACAAACACACAAACACACACACTACCTGCTCTCCTAGACAGCGCAAAATCCACAGATTTGGGACTTACGTTATGGGTCAAAGTCTACTGACCATCCTGTTGAACCCTAACCCACTCTGGCTGAGCTAAAGACAAAAATCACTACACTATCTAACAAACACAGCTAAAACCAAAGTGAACAGCTTACACACAGCTGAACTACACTCTCTAACAAATGAAAGTCAAAGCAGAAGAGCTGCTTTCATATCCCACTTTCAGATGCTCAGAGGGACAAAACAATAGTATGTCCTGAAAGCCAATAATGAGTGCTTATTGTGAAGTTGTAGCAGTTTACCAGGGGAAAGGGGTTTCATATTTATCTCTATACAGCACTTAGAGATCTATCAACATTAAAGCCCTGTCTCGTAGTTTAAACAATATGCTAGCTAAAGGATGTTAAATGGCAAGCTGCACATACTACCATTGCTCTTCAAGAAGTGTAAAATGTAACTAATGATGTTTCAATTAACCCACTACAGTACATGAAATGCTAGCTGACACATATCCGGTCATATCCACTGATAGATGGCATTGGAGGCCCGTATCCATCTCTGCCATTGACCCACCCTGAGTGCAGTGTTAAACAGAGCATGCTCAGTAAGGTTGTGCCATATGAGATTGATAATTCCTCTGAGGTGTGAAATATGCTGATGTCACAGACCAACCACATCACTTCCTCTCCCACTGCTGGCTACTGCTGGGCTGGGCCGGTAGAGGATCCGCAGAGGGGTCAATGAAACAATTAGCATTAGAGACACACACAAACTCAAACTGAGGCGTGCACACAAGTAAAAATACGAACACCCTTACAGTAATACCACAGAGTTTCTAATCCCAGAGACACAAGATCGCGAGACTTCCGGGAATGGTTGTGAAACAG